ATATATTTTTAAAAAGTAATTATTTAATTTAAAAAATGTTTTTTTGCCATAGGGTGTGTGCACTTGCTGGAGAGACAGAGACGGTGAGAGGGAAAGTGAGAAATCATCCCCTGGGAGGATAGCCACACCACAATCCCTTCTCCTCCATTCTCCTTGTGAGATTTTGGGCATGCACAAACACATGCCTGGTGTGAGTTTCAAGCTGCTGGTTCCAGGACTAGAACTGAGATCAACCATGTGGGAATCCAGTGCCTTAACCACTATGCAACCTGCTGGCCTCAAGAATTATTTGGGGCTGGGAACTAGCAGTTAGCATAATGGCTATGTCGCTAGACTCCCACGTAGTTGACCGCGGTTCATGTCCCGGACCCGGTGGCTTAAAACTCACGCCAGGCGTGTGTGCGTACATGCCCAAGATCCTGAGAGATGAATGGAGGAGAAGGGATTGAGGCGTGGCCATCCCCCCTGCGGGGTGATTTCTCGCTTTCTATCTCTCTGTCTCTGTCTGTCTGGCGAGCGCATGCACCCTATAGTGAAAATCTCTCCAAAAAAAAAAAAAAAGAATTATTTGGAGCTGAAAGTGGCATATTGGATGGGATGCTGGACTCCCACATGGCCAATCCCAGTATGAGTCCTAGATCTGGCAGCTTGCTTTCTCACTTTCCTTTTCTCTTTCTCCAATCAAATTTAAAAAATAATAATGATGAATAAAATCATTTAAAAAATATTTAGTTTAGGGACCAGCAGTTAGCGTAATGGCTATGTTGCTGGATTCCCACCTAGTCGACCGCGGTTCACGTCCCGGACCCGGTGGCTTAAAACTCACGCCAGGCGTGTGTGCGTACATGCCCAAGATCCTGAGAGATGAATGGAGGAGAAGGGATTGAGGCGTGGCCATCCCCCCTGCGGGGTGATTTCTCGCTTTCTATCTCTCTGTCTCTGTCTGTCTGGCGAGCGCACATGCCTTATAGCCAAAACCTCAAAAAATTTAGTTTAATTAATTTGTTGCTACTGTTATTATTTAATTTGTTATAGGGCTCCTGCTCACCAGAGAGAGACAGAGATAGGGAGAGAAAGTGAGAAAGCAAGCTGCCAGGTCTGGAATTCGAACAGTGATCAGGAGCCATTTTGGGAGTCCAGATCTCTAATCACCGCACCACTCTCTCTATTTTTTTTTAATTGTCAGGGGTGTGTGTACTTATCAGAGACAGAGAAAACATTCCCTCACCACCAATGTGGCATCATGCTGCAACCCTTCTCCATTTCTCCATCCAGTCGGGACTTTGGACATACATATACATGCACTTGGAATATTTGTTCAAGCTAGCCAGGCTGAAATTTGAACCACAATTGGCCATGTGGGACCCACTTCCCTTAACCACTAGGCTACAGGGCTGGCCTGTCACTATGTCTTGATTCTTTTGCCTCGGCCAACCAAGTAGCTTAGACTACAAGTGCATGCCACTGAGCCCAGGTTTTTGTTGTTTTCGATTTTAGGGTGGATGAAGAACTAAATCCAGGCCTCCAATATGGCTTCAACCTATTGAATAGCAGCAGCCATGGTGTGCTACTGTAATTGGGACTAGACTAGTTTTTTTTTTTTTGTATGTGGATGTCCAGTTGTTCTGGTAACATTTATTGAAAAGATGACCTTTTCTTGGGGCTAGCAGATGGTGTAGTGGTTACATCACTGAACTCTCACATGACTGACCACAGTTTCGAGTCCTGAACCTGGTGGCTTGAAAATCATGCCACGTGCGTGTGCATGTGTGCCCAAGATCCTGGGAGAAGAATGGAGGAGAAGGGATTTTGGTGTGGCCATCCCCCCTTGGGGGTGATTTCGCCCGTTCCCTTTCACTGTCTGTCTTTCTCTGTGGTAAGTGCATGAGCCGTAAGGCAAAAACATCTCAAAAAAAAAAATAAGGAAGATTATCTTTTCTTTAATATCGCCTTTGATCCTTTGCCAAAAATAATTTTACTTGGGCTAGCTGGTGGAAAGGTGATCAAGGTGGCTGACTATGTGGTTGGAGACCCATTGACCTGGTGGCTTGAGAAACACATTGGATATAAATGCATGCATGCCCAAAGCCTGAAGGAAGATGTGGAAAACAAGGAATTATAGCTTGACTACCCTTTATGGGGGGATACTTTCTCTCTCTTTCTTTCCAGCAAGCAAACATGTCCTCTAGCAAATTAAAACAAAAACAAAAACAAAACCAAAACTGATGCTATTTATATGGTCTTGTCTCTGGGTTCTCTATTCTGTTCTACTGATCTATTTCCTTATTTTTGCACTAATACTATAATCTCTTGCCTAGTGTAGCATTTTAATCAGTCTTGAAGCAACATATCTTTCTTTGGGTGGGGCATAATTCATCCCAATATCAGGACCTATATGTGGGATTGGGGAGAGCAAGAAGCGGATTTAAACCCTTGTCAATCTTTTTTTTTTTTAAAGAATTATTTATTTAATTTTATTTATTCATTCATTTATTTTTATTTGACCAGAGAGACAGAGAGAGAGAGAGCGCAAGCCGCCAGGTCTGGGACTTGAACCATGGTTGGCCATGTGGGAGTGTCCAGCGCCTTAACTATCCATACCCTTGTTAGTCTTTCTTAAGAGTATTGCCTGTTGGAGTCCTGCACTGCAGAACTGACCAGGCTTACAAATCCGCATCTCCTTAGCTGCTGGATGTGGCCTTGGAGGAAGGGGATTCATGACTTGGAGCAAGGTGATTCTCTGCAGCTAAGGCAGACTGGAGGAGCTGGCAGCTAGAGGATGGGGGGGGCAGAGAGGGGTGCATTTTGACAAATATTTCTTTTTTTAAAAAAAGAATTATTTGGGACCAGCAGGTGGCGTGGTGGTTAAGGGGCTGAACGCTCCCACATGGGCAACCACGTGCTGAACGCTCCCACATGGCCAACCACGGTTCGAGTTCCCGACCTGGTGGCTTCCTTTCTCACTTTCCCTCTCTCTCTTTCCTCCTCTGTGTCTCTCTCTGGTCAAATTAAAATAAATGAGTGAATAAATAAAATGAAATAAACAAAAAAAAAGGAATTATTTAATTTGGGACCAGCAGATGGCGTAATGGTTATGTCATTGTACTCTTACTTAGCTAACTGTGGTTCAGTCCCAGACCCTGGGACTTAAAACTCATGCTAGGCCTGTGTGCATGAGTGCTCAAAGTCCTGAGAGGAGAATGATGGAGAAGGGATTGCCCTGTGGCCATCCTGGGGGTGGGGGACGATATTTCTCACTTTCTGTCTCTCTGTAAAATCTCTCTAAAATTTAAAAAAAAAATTCTATTTATTTTTAAGAAGAATTATCTATTGAATTTTATTTATTTATTTATTTTTAATTTGACCAGAGAGAGACACAGAGAGAGAAAAAGTGAGAAAGCAAACGGCCAGGTCTGGGACTCAAACCATAATCAGCCACGTGGGCACTAGCGCCCCAACCACCACACCACCTGCTGGCCCCAACAAATACTCTGTCTGACCAAACTCTAACTAGGCTCCTCTGAGCTCTCTTCTTGACTATGCCTTAAGCTTGTAATATAAAGACTTGAACAAACACTAATTTAGTTTCTAAAGCTCAAGGCTGCATCCCTATTGTTTCAGCAACACCTGGAAATAGCCCCTCCCCACCAGCTGCAGGCCTATGTAGAAGGGTAGGAACCTAACTTCCATAAGCTTGTCAGTTAGCAAACCCAGATGGGTTTCACATGGACCAACTCCACTTCCTGCTTTTTGTAAGTGTTCACTTCCCTGACTCTGCTGAACCCTGCACCCCCTTCCCTAGTCCCTCATTTTCCCTTTAAAACTCCAGTCACCTATGTACACACTTAAGTTCCCTTGATGGTGGGCTCTTCTCTAGTGCATTAGTGTACTATTGACGAAAATTTATCCTTACCACTTGAACTAGTGTACAGTTTTATCTTTTGACATTTTCCACGTTCACCACATCCAGGGCTTTTTCCGAAAGCTGGCCTCTTACCACTCCACCGTCCACAGGCTTTTTCTGCCCCTCCACCCTACTTCAGTCTCTCTACAATGACACATCCCCCAGCAGTCCCGCCTCTGACCCTGGGATCCCCTACCGCACCTAGCTCCAAGCCAGACCCCAGTCTGGGGGTGTGGGGTGGAGAAAGGACCGACTAATCCACAGCCTGCAGATATTCTGCAGGAAGGGGCCTCCGCCACTGTGCCGATGGGTCCTGGCTAGGTCTTGTCCGCTCTCCGGCCTGCCCCTTATAGCTGTTTCGGACCATCTAGGCCAAGATTGTAGGTCCGGGCAAGAAAAAGAAGGAGGGAAACTACCGCCTAACACCGGTGGAGCCCTGCAGGACGGTGAGAACTCCCCCTACGCCTTTCCGCGGACAAGAGCGGCGCGCTCGCGGGCAGCGCAGACCCACCCAGACCAGAGGCCGCAGCGCGCGTCCAGGGTAAGCAGCGCCGGTTCTTCCCGGCGATTGGGCGTGAGGCCATGACGTCACCGCGCGCGGCCCCGCGACCGGGCTTCGAGTCGTGCCGCCGTCTGCGCGCGCCTAGCGAATAGCGGGAGTGGGGCGCGCGTCCGGGCGCTCCTCAGAGGTGGCTCGCGGTCCCTCGGCCCCTCCCTCCCACCGAGCCCCTC